AGCGCGCGGTGAGGAGCAGCCCCCCCACGCGGCAGCAGAAGCAGCAGCAGCAGCAGCAGCAGCAGGCTGTGTAGACTCATGAGCGTCAGCTCGACTGTCAGACACCGGGGGTGTGGTGCATTTCTTAACTAAAAATCATTATCCTTGGAGGTGTTTTGTTGTGTTGTGTAGACTGCACCACTCCAGGGCACTGAGATATGATACGAGCCTTTGACGAGAGCCTTTCTCTCTGAGTCTTTTCATCTCTATGCCAGGCTTTGATTCACACTTAATCCCTGCGACGTTGGAGACACTGGTGTAATTGTACATTGCATGTTCTGTACAGGTCTAGACGGATCCTCCTCTGTGATCAGTCTGATCTCCTCCCCTGTCCGTGCTTCATCAGGTCTGTTTTCATGCTACATTTTCCAAAATTGTGGTCTTTAAAAAGGCGACAGGAAAATATCTTAATGTTGAGGATTTCTGCGGAACCAACGACCGTGCTGAGAGGAGCGGCTGCAGACTGATTTGTGTGGAACTCTCACAGACAGATAAACAGACCGTAGCACAAATTAGATGTGACATCATCATTTTTCATGTGTCATTCTGTTTTTAATTGAAGCAGAGGAAAAGCCCAGATTCTTGTCCAGTTCCACTGACATGACTCCATCAAACAGCTGCTTCACAGCTGGGACACGGCCCACGGTCAACACAGACTGCTGACTCACTCATTTGCCAAATTTGGGCAAAGCATTTCACCTGCGGCTCCTTTAACCAAATTGTGTGTTTCGACTTGGCAACGGTTGCAGCAGAAAATTCACTCCACCAGAACTTTTTTCCCGTCCCCTTTTTCATCCCTCTCATCCCACTGAGCTCCGGAATGCAAATTACATTGTCCATGGAAGCCCATGAAAAGAAGCTGGCATTCCGTGACCTCCTAATGGGCTGAAGATGGAACTGGATCAAGACCACATTCCTAGACACTATCAGATATTTGGAAAATGGCCGAGCGGCCGAGCCACCGGCAACCGTCGTCTGCTGACGGTCCTGGCTCCAGGACAGGCATGTCACGGATGAACACATTTCATTGACTGGTTTATGAGGAATTTCTTCGGAGCAGGCTGAGGACACAGGTGCTCAGGTGTATCGTCAACATAGGAAAGTTCAGCTGTTTTTTTATTTTTTATTTTGAGTTTGATTCTGACGTGTTTTAGCTGTAAACAAGTGAAAGGCAGCTGTGAGCTGTCAACTCTCTGCTGCAATCGCCTCGGAGCTGCAGAAGAAGAGCCACAGAGAAGGTGACCTTGACCCCAGGTTCCCCACTGAAGGGGCAGAGGTCATTACCACTTTTCATACCAGTCGTTTCTAATGTTTCAAGTTCAACAACAACAACAACAACGACAACAACCCAAATCTCACAGCTATATTAAGAACAGGAGAGCCAACATTTGGTCTGTCTGTCTGTCTGTCTGTCCGTCTGTCTGTCCATCCGTCCATCTGTCTGTCTGTCTGTCTGTCTGTCTGTCCGTCCGTCTGTCTGTCTGTCTGTCCGTCTGTCTGTGTGTCTGTCCGTCTGTCTGTCTGTCTGTCCGTCTGTCTGTCTGTCCATCTGTCCGTCTGTCTGTCTGTCTGTCTGTCCGTCTGTCTGTCTGTCCATCTGTCCGTCTGTCTGTCTGTCTGTCTGCCTGTCTGTCCGTCCGTCTGCCCGTCTGTCTGTCTGTCTTTGACTTGTCTCTGACTTTGACTGCGCTCAGAGGAACAACATCATTAATCTCCCCTGAGAGCCCATGACCTCAGCAGAGTCTCTGCCAGTTGAACAACAAACACACACTTCAGCACATTTGTACTGTGTGAGGAATGCTACTACAATTTTAAATATTGATATGAGACGTCTCACTCTCAGACATTCCCACAGCCGTCACGCTGGAACTTGTTTTGTTTTTTTATTATGATTATTTCTTAGTTTGACAGCTGGGAATGTACAGAGAAAGACAAAAAAAACGGTAATATATGAGAAGGTGGGGTGTGGCAGAAAAGTACATGGCAGTTGTGCAGGACACACCTATATGAAGGGACTGGACCAACCTCAGGCTGAAACACCACAGTCTCCATCAAGGCTTCTGATCTAAGACGGAGACTGACAGGCACCACAGGAGTCAGCTCAGCGCTGACCTCAGGACCCTGCAGGGGTCACCTGTCGTCTCCGCACACCGTTGTTGACCTGAGGCTTCATCAGTGAAGTGTTGTATCACTGCATATGAAAACAAAATGACGGCAAATTGATCTTCAACTGTCAACTGTTACCAAGCAGGAAAAAAAACTTTTGTTTTTTTGTTTTTTCCCCATATTTTTTGAGCTCTGAAATCAGGAACTTTGAAATCTGGCAGCAGGATTTCAACCAAACAACAGTAGCAGTCTAATGGATTATGGGACTGGAACTAATAACTTCCAGACATAAATGACTTCCAGCGCATCACTGCCATTGTCTGGGAAACAGGCCAAACTGATTTACAGCTGAGTTGTGTAAAGTGTGGATGTGATTGAGGAGAAGTTCAGGGAAACAGTTATATCATCTCTACACACTGTAAATGACAACATGATTCATTATTTAATAACTGCCATATTATTTTTTTAAAAAAAGGCTTTTTGATATATTTAAAAAATATATATTTATACAAAATCACTTAAGTAAATAGAGTTATCCATGTTTTATTTTATTTTAATTTTTTTTTACTTCACTTTATTTCATATAAACTGCTGTAAATGTCACTGCAGGTGTGAAGCACCTTGAACTGCCTCAGGCACTTCTCCAACCGGCTCACGACGGCTCTCAGCGGTCGGAGGTGGAAGTGCAACAACGTCCGGCTGTGTTTTTATCAGATGTGTTTGTAAATGTCCTGTGTGGTTGTTTTCACTGGCTTCTGTCCGTTGTTAAGAAAACATCCTGGTATTTTCTCTGTCCCACATCAGTTGAGTTTGAAAAAAATTTTTTTTGAGAAAAAAAAAAGAATCAGACGTGTTGCAGATGTTGGTCCACTTCAGTCAACTGTGTTGCAGATGTTGGTCCACTTCAGTCTAATTATAAGTCAACTGAAGCCAATGTGATGAAAATCCATGATTTATTATTAGCCAATGTGATGAAAATCCATGATTTAATATTTTCTTTTTTGTGAATATTTATTTTTATTAAAATGTCTCAGAGAACTGATGGAGGATGAATGCGTTCAGGAAAAACTCTCTCTCTCTCTTTCTCCCTCTCTCTCTTTCTAAGCACGTCCCTTTTTCTACCTTCTCCCTGATTGGTCGAAGCCACTTCTTAGGAATGGCATCAAACTATTTAAATAGCACTTTGTCTCCTCTCTGCTTTTAAAAGGGAGTTATTTAGCAGCTGGTCGGAGCCAGGATATTTTTTTAAATCAAGGTAATTTTGGAGGAGGAAAATTTTCTTCTTTTTTTTTTTTTATTCCACTGGACCATTTTTTCGTACCTGGATCTGGGCTCGTTCCTGTGTGGATTTATTTTAAACTGTTTCTGCTTCTGTTGTTCCACAGGTGAGTGGGAGAGTCGTTCTGTTTCTGACTGGACTTTGGCTCCAAGTCCTGCAGTCGGTGTTTAACCTGTGTGTTTGTGTTCGGCAGCTGCAGGTCGTTGAAGTCTCAGCATGAAGTTGACGGGAATATTTTTGTTGCTGATGCTGTGGAGCTGCGAATGCGCGCGGGTTGCAGGTGAGTTCAGGCGAACACGGCGTGGATTTGGGTAAAACTGTGTGTGTGTGTGTGGGGGGGGGGGGGGGGGGGGTTAAGACGTGGGCTTCTTTACTGGACTTGGTGGTTTTTTAAATGTGTGTTTGCAGATGATGTTGTGATGTTTAAAAATGCTGCATCTCACTGCGCACAATGCGCAATTGTGCGTCAAAAAACGGGCGTAAAAACTCAGTCAAAACCTGTGCGTAAATGGAGGATAAATGATGATTCCTAAATAATAAATCAATCCTAAACCAATCCTGACACCCTGTGTCCCTTCACCCACAGAGAGCAGGGACGACAACAGCGTCTACGACCTGTTCGATCTCATCCAGGTCCCCAAGAAGAACCACGGAGTCACCACGGTGAAGGGAGACGACCCGTACAGCCCTGCCTACAAGATCCTCGACCCGGACCTGATCCCCCCGCTCCCCGAGACCGCCTTCAGGGACCTGATTGACTCCATCCACGCCGAGCGGGGATTCCTCCTGCTGCTCAATTTGAAACAGTTCAAACGCACCAGGGGAAGCCTCCTGACCGTGGAGAAGCGGGACGGCTCCGGGCCCGTCTTCGAGATCGTCTCCAACGGCAAGGCCAACACTTTGGACATAGTTTTCTCCACGGAGAACAAGCAGCAGGTGGTTTCCGTGGAGGACGTGGACCTGGCCACGGGTCACTGGAAGAACATCACCCTGTTCGTGCAGGAGGACCGGGCTGTGCTCTACGCTGGATGCGAGGAAGTGAACACGGCGGAGCTGGATGCGCCCATTCACAGCATCCTGACGCAGGACACACCGGCCAGTGCGCAGCTGCGGGTCGGCAAAGGAGCAGTGAAGGACCGGTTCATGGTGAGAGTGCAGTATAGATCGTTTTTTTTTATATTTTTAGGTTTAAAAAGGGGGAAACAAATTTGGTGCGTAAAAAGGTTCTGACGTAAAAGTGGAAACAGAATCCACTGCATCGTGCGTAAAAGCGCACCGTGGCACAGAAGTGCCATTGGCTGATTGGTCGTCATCACCGTGGCACAGAAGTGCCATTGGCTGTAAAACACAGAGCGCATCTGATTGGTCGTTATCTACCGTATCACTTGAAGTCATTTTTAAGCGACGATGAGATGTTTGACGTCACACTGCGCCTGTGCCAGAGCTGACGTTTGAACGTCCGTTTTTTACAGGGGGTTCTTCAAAACGTGCGCTTCGTCTTTGGGACCACCCTGGACGCCATCCTCCGGAACAAGGGATGTCAAAGCTGTGAGTAGCAGCGACACAGGCGTCTGTTCCCGTGTTCACTCTTCACCCAGTCTCTGCCTCATGTACCGCCAAGTCCTGGCAGGTTCTAATTTAACCTCTCTGCCCGGGGAGATGTTTACTGGTCTCCACAGAGATGCCAGTTTATGTGCATGCATTACTACAAACCAATATCTTTCTTTGTTATTTATGGCACATTAAGTACAAATACCTTTCTGTAATTAATCAGTTGAAGATGAAGGTGCAGATATGTGATTTGATTGATGTTCCCCGTGCAGCCGTTACCTCCGACACCATGATCCTGGAGAACCTGAACGGATCCTCCGCCATCAGAACCACATACACCGGACACAAAACCAAAGGTATGCACACGTTCATCGCCTGCAGCCCAGATGTGGAGCCCTGATTACTGACTAACGCCGGCTCTCCCTGTGAAGACCTGCAGATGGTGTGTGGCTTCTCCTGTGAGGACCTGACCAGCATGTTCAAGGAGCTGAAGAGCCTCGGTGTGGTGGTCAAGGAGGTGACCAACGAACTCCGACAGCTGGTGAGAACCTAACTAATCCACCCGTGGGCGTTTCCTGTCCAGCAGAACAGTTTCAGAAGTGTAATCATCTCAGTAAACATTTGGAATTGTATTAGGAAGATCCTTTCATCTGATCTGGTGAGGATGGCAGCTCCACAAGTAGGAACACAGAAGTAATTATCATTTAGTTGTCAAGTCTTCATAGTTACCAAAAAAAACAAACAAACAAACCTGAAAGTTAATATGAGCCGTGTTACAAACAGTGACTTTGTTCAACAAAAAAACCCAATGTGACTTATTTGTAACTTAAAACATTTAGGTTAGCAAAAATGTCGCCACGGGATAGCTTAAAGTGAGGAACAAAGCTAAAAAAAAAGGTTTAACTTTAAAGGTCGATGGTCTCTTAAATAAAGAAAATGCTGGATGTTCCTTGAAGTGTTTTACCCAACAAATGATGAAAATCAGAAGAAAAACGTTATAAAAGAAATTCAAATACATTTAGAACAGATCACAACAGTGGATTATACATCAATCTGGACGTTAGCTTCATGTTAGCCACTGAATCTGACAACCATAGCTGGATTAAAATGACTAAAATTGGGTTGTTTTAGAGTCAGGCAAATACATGTATGTTAGTAGATACAAAATAGTGAAACAACTCAAAGTCGACGAAGAAAAAGAACTAAACAGAGGGAACAAAAATTAAATTAAATTAAAGCTGTCAAAAACCACCTGAGAATCTGTTTGTTGGTTCTTCTCTGTCCAATCACAGACGGACGAGAACAAGCTGATCAGGACTCACATCGACAGCCACAGGGGCGTCTGTCTCCACAACGGCATCGTCCACAAGAACATGGACGAGTGGACGGTGGACGACTGCACCGAGTGCACGTGTCAGGTAAGAACCCAGGATCAGCCTTAAGTGCTTAAAGACACGAGCGGCGTGATTGGGACGGAGCGTTCTGCCCTGACTCGTCTCCCAAAACAGACACACACACACACTTCACACACTTCACACAGCACTCGACTGAAGTGGTCAGTAATGAGTGCAGTGTGAAGGTCTGGCAGGAGGCCAGCCGTCTGTGCCGCCGTAATGAGAGCTCTCTTGTCAGGAGTTAATCTCCAGCCAGGCCCGCAGCCGCTGGGCCAGACTTTAAGTGACGCATCAGCCGTAATTGAACCTTGGCTCTGACAAACTGAGGCACGGACGCGGTGGAAGTGGATTCAGGTGCAAATGTTTTGGCTCAGACGATCCACGCAGCTCTCTGATAGACTTTACTTCCTGATTCTCTCCCCTCCTTCTCCTCTTCCTCCTCCTCCTCCTCCTCTTCTTACTCCAGTCCTTTGTCTATTGTCCTCCATGATCGGTTCCAGGATTTACAGTATGACTCTCAGTTGGATGAAGCTGATTCTTCACTACAGTTCTCCCTCAGGTGGAACTGGCAGACAGTTTTTTTTTCTTGTCCTGGACTTCATAGTGGACACTGAGTTCCATCAGTTGGCCACATCCTGAACCCAGTGGTCCAGTGGTGCAGTGGTCCAGTGGTCCAGTGGTCCACTGGTCCAGTGGTGCAGTGGTCCAGTGGTTCAGTGGTGCAGTGGTCCACTGCTGGAGTTTCTTGGGTTTTTTTTTCCGACTATTTTTGGTGAGACCAGTATTTCAGGAAGTGTGGAACCAAACAAACAACAGCAGCTGATGTTAAAATGTTCACTCAATTATGTAACGCACAGTCGTCATGCCCACGTGGGTCGTACACTGCAATGAAAATGGTCACAGGATAGAGGTGTGGGCCACATGTGCACTAGCACATCTGGGCTGCATGGCTCCTCCATTTGGCCCACTTCTGTAGTGACCCATATGTGGACAGTTTTAGGTCACATCCAGGTCACACTGGTCCAAGTACGTGACTTAATTAGCCCTTCATTTGGCCTAGTGTCCCACGTGGGACTCATGGAAGGATTTGTTGACAACAACAAACTAAAGATCTGTTCTTTTGCAGGACTCTGCTACTGTGTGCCGCAAGATCTCCTGCCCACTGATCCCCTGTGCCAACGCTACAGTTCCAGACGGAGAGTGCTGTCCCCGCTGTGGAACACGTAAGCACCTGGGTCCCCACCCAACACCCCCCCCCCCCCCCACCCCCCCCGCCCCTCCTACCCTTGGGAACACGTAACCACCGGGGCCCCCACCAAACCCCCCCCCCCACACCCCCCGCTTCTCACCTTGTAACGTTAAAACCTGCAAATCCACAGGAAGGTGTAGCATAATCACAGTCATGTGAAGCTGCAGAGAAACTGTTCCACCGCTGCACACACTGCTCCATTCACACACACACACAGTCGTTTCTGGGTTATTTACCACATTCAACTAAAAAAAAAAAAAATCAAAAGTATTTCCCCTTGATGTGAAGGTTTACATCCCAGAGAAAACACCTTGGTCTCAGGGATGATTTAACGGCGCTAACATCCGACTAAATGAATGGCTGCCTGTGTGTTTGGAACATTGGAGCTTTGTGCTCCGGAGCATCGCTGAATCTTAGAGCAGAAATGGCTGCAATTTGCTAAATTGCTGAGAGCAGGCTGGAAAATTGGTCCCTGCGTCTCCTGCACCGGGGTAAAGTGACACGTTCCTCGGAGCAGCTGAGCGAGGTTGGCTCCCAGTGCCTCCATAAAACCTAAACAAACAGGGGCGAGGGCCACATTCACCCCGACCTCAGCCACTGGTTGACGTGGTCCCACTGCCAGCGCCGTGTTTGCAAAATGTTTCCTCCCGGGAAAAACCTAAGTCGATGGGGCATCCCTGGAATCTGAAGACACTGGCTCCGTCTGTTTCCCTCTGCGTTAATCTTTCTGCTTTTCCTGGTCTAAAGCTAAATCCTTAGCATAACTGCTCCATTTTACAGCTTCCCTTCTCATTTAGGCTTCTGTGGACTGGGGGGGTGAGGTGTGGGGAGTGGCACTGTTTTACTGTAATAGCTCCTCATTGTCTCTCTCTCCCTCTCTCTCTCTCTCTCTCTCTCTCTACTTAGCGAGTGACTATGCAGAGGACGGCTGGTCGCCTTGGTCTGAATGGACCCATTGTTCCGTGTCGTGTGGGCGGGGCATCCAGCAGCGCGGGCGCTCCTGCGACCGTATCAATAACAACTGCGAGGGCACCTCGGTGCAGACCCGCGACTGTTACCTCCAGGAGTGCGACAAACGCTGTGAGTTAACGTCAACCAGACTCCAACCACGGCAGAGTTCAACCACACAGTATATGAGGTGGTCTGCCTGACCTTTGACCTTTCCTTTTGGTGTCCAGTCAAGCAGGACGGAGGCTGGAGCCACTGGTCCCCCTGGTCGTCCTGCTCCGTCACCTGCGGCTCTGGTGTCATCACACACATACGCCTCTGCAACTCCCCCACCCCTCAGATGGGAGGCAAGGACTGCGTGGGCGAGGGTCGGCAAACCCAGAAGTGTCAGATGCCTTCCTGCCCCAGTGAGTGGCACATTTACTCCACGGAGTTACTTTGAAATAATAAAAGAGAAGAAGGGAATTGGAGTTGATCTGTTCTTTCTTTTTCCTCTCAGTCAATGGAAACTGGGGGCCGTGGTCACCGTGGGACACCTGCAGTCTGACCTGTGGAGGCGGCGTCCAGACCCGTAAACGTCTGTGCAACAACCCCGCAGCACAGTTCGGTGGCAAAGAGTGCGTCGGTGAAGCTAAAGACACTCAGATGTGTAACAAGAAAAGCTGCCCAGTCGGTGAGCACGAAAGTATCAGCACTGTCCCAAAAGGACGTCCAAGTTTGGGTCGTGTCCCGTTACTAACAGCCTGGTGTTGTCCTCAGATGGTTGTCTGTCCAATCCCTGCTTCGCTGGAGCAAAGTGCAGCAGTTTTCCTGATGGCTCCTGGAAATGTGGCAAATGTCCAACTGGCTACTCTGGCAACGGAATCAAGTGTAAAGACGTCAATGAGGTAGAGATCTGGTTGAGTTGGACAAAAGTCCACATTTTGTTACTGAAAACAGGACATTTAGTCAATGCTCAACATACATAAACATATTTAGAACAAAATAGATCAAAATAACAATCCAAGTCTTATGCAACATTAACCTTACCTCTACTGTAGTAAACCTATACTACATGTGACAGTTGCATTTGTACTGTTATCCTGAGGATGTTAAGAGGAGAAAGACGCACACCCGATATCTCATGGAATTGTAGGATTTATTCCGGTTAATTCTGGATCCATTTGAATGTTTCTGTCGGTTCCAGACGTGCAGGTTAATGAGACCAAATGTTCCTTTCTCCCTTGAAACCAGTGCAAGGAAGTTCCAGATGCTTGTTTCGAGTTCAACGGCGTGCACCGCTGTGAGAACACAGAACCGGGCTACAACTGCCTGCCCTGCCCGTCTCGCTACTCAGGACCCCAGCCCTTTGGCAGAGGAGTGGAGCAGGCTGCTGCGAACAAACAGGCAAGTTCAGTCTTGAGGAAAAAAGCCAACGCTCTGACAGGAAGAGCTACAAGTCCCTGAGATGTACGATAAAAGAAATAGATGCTGATAACGCTGGCTGTGTAAGGCGTGACTTGCATCGCCCCCGGCCGTTCGTCCCGATGAACGTCTGGCGTTGTGAGGAACCGATGCCATGAATTTGTAACATGGAAAACCTGTGTGATCTCTGATTGGTCGATCTCCGCCCCTGCAGGTGTGCACGCCCCGTAATCCCTGCCTCGACGGAAGCCACGACTGCAACAAAAACGCACGCTGCAACTACCTGGGACATTTCTCCGACCCCATGTTCCGCTGCGAGTGCAAACCTGGCTACGCTGGCAACGGACACATCTGCGGAGAGGACACGGACCTGGACGGATGGCCCAACGCTGACCTGGTCTGCGTGGAGAACGCCACCTACCACTGCAAAAAGGTCAGCCTCACGAAGACAATCTGATCGCCACCCACATAGGTCCTTTTCAAATACCGTGAGCCCACATTTGAGCCACCCCACTGCACACGTTTGGATCTGGTTAAATATAGAACAAAAAAAAAATCATTTCAGGACAACTGCCCGAACCTGCCCAACTCTGGACAAGAGGACTACGACAAGGACGGCATCGGAGACGCCTGTGACAACGATGATGACAACGATGGAATTCCAGATGACCGGGTGAGCAAAACCTCTGTGTGTGTGTGTGTGTGTGTGTGTGTGTGTGTGATCTCTGACTGAGTCTCCTGCATTCATCATTCATGCCATCTAATAAAAGGACAGGTGGAGCCCAGTGGGGCCGGGGGGGGGGCAGGGAGGAGGGGAGGGAGAGGAGGAACAGCAGGAAGGCAAATGTTTCTCCTCAGGCCTGAGCCAAAACCTCAAATTCCATTAAATTCCTCCACGGAGGTACGGAAGGAGGGACGGCTGTGAAGGAGCTGCAGTGTTTGCTAATCCCAGGGTTAGATTTGGGAACGGGCCTAAAAATAAAGCAGCTTTTCATTCAGCAAAAGCTCCGCCCCTGAAAACATATCCACTCGCACAAAGACAGCCAATGACTCTCTCTCCCCTGCTCTCTCTCTCTCTCTCTCTCTCCTGGAACAGGACAACTGTCCGTTCATCTACAACCCCAGGCAGTACGACTACGACCGTGATGACGTTGGCGACCGCTGCGATAACTGCCCCTACAACAGTAACCCCGACCAGACGGACACCGACAACAACGGAGAGGGAGACGCCTGTGCTGTGGACATTGATGGAGACGGTGAGGGTGACACCTGTGGACAGATGTGTCCACAAAAGGTCCCTCAGGATAAATTCATTATCTATAAATGTATTTTTATGAAGCTAGAAGTTGGAAAGAGATCAAACAAAATTAAACGTCACGGTCGTGAGCCTTGACTTTTGAAAAAGTTACAAATTCAGTGCCAGCTCGGCTCAGACGCGTCTCGCTGTCGTAGCCTGTGTTTAGCTGCATCACTGCAGTGCCGTTTGTTTTTTCAAAAATCATGATCGGAGACACGTGTGCCCTCGCGATGCCCTCGCCAGGACGCGTCCAAGCCGGAACACAGATGTGTTATTATCTGTAACAAAAATGTCCGGGAGGAGGGTTGAAATCTTGATGCGATCTTCAACAACACTCTCTGTCCTAAATCTAATCAGAGAGTCTGTCGTACGTTTTGTTCCGTTTTGTTCCTTCATCTTCTGGAGGGCCCCGAGGTGGGCAAGGTCCTGCCAAGTCCTTCCACCGACATCGACTCCACTTCCAGCTCGGCTCAGACGCGTCTCGCTGTCGTAGCCTGTGTTTAGCTGCATCACTGCAGTGCCGTTTGTTTTTTCAAAAATCATGATCGGAGACACGTGTGCCCTCGCGATGCCCTCGCCAGGACGCGTCCAAGCCGGAACACAGATGTGTTATTATCTGTAACAAAAATGTCCGGGAGGAGGGTTGAAATCTTGATGCGATCTTCAACAACACTCTCTGTCCTAAATCTAATCAGAGAGTCTGTCGTACGTTTTGTTCCGTTTTGTTCCTTCATCTTCTGGAGGGCCCCGAGGTGGGCAAGGTCCTGCCAAGTAGGACGAACCGTAACCTGAGTTTGTCTACGTCTGAAAATAAAACAGAAGGAACGCCGGGATCCTTTAAAGTTGACTTTGATTTGTCACGAGACCAAATCCTCAACAGTTTTTGGACAAATTGAAGTTGGCAGCATCACAGAGCCTAATAATCAGAGCCTGAGCAGTTTTTGGACAAATTGAAGTTGGCAGAGCCTAATAATCAGAGCCTGAACCTTCCACCGACATCGACTCCACTTCCATCTCGGCTCAGACGCGTCTCTCTGTCGTACCGTCTGTGTTTAGCTGCGTCACTGCAGTGTTGTTGTTTGGGACGTTCTCTTTTTAATCCCTTTACAGTCAAAACAAGGGTGTGTTTTTAAACTTTATAAACTTTTTCAATCGATCTTAAGTGTTTCGTGTCCCGCTGCAGTTGGATTCTGACGATGACCGCGTGGGAGACAAGTGCGACAACAACCAGGACATTGACGAGGACGGACATCAGAACAACCTGGACAACTGTCCCTACATCCCCAACGCCAACCAGGCCGACCACGACAAGGACGGCAAAGGTGACGCCTGTGACCACGACGACGACAACGACGGCATCCCCGATGAAAAGGACAACTGCAGACTGGCCTTCAACCCCGACCAACTGGATGAAGACGGTAAGTCAACAGAGAACCCCGGTCGTCCAACACTAGAACATCTTCAGGGAACACCTTTATTTTTATTTTTTTAACCGTTTTCATTTTCAGGCGACGGTCGCGGCGATGCCTGTAAATACGACTTTGACCAAGACAACGTCCCCGACATCTATGACGTGTGTCCCGAAAACTTTGGCATTAGTGAAACAGACTTCCGCAAGTTCCAAATGGTTCCTCTGGACCCCAAAGGCACGTCCCAGATTGATCCCAATTGGGTGGTGCGTCATCAGGGCAAAGAGCTGGTGCAGACGGTCAACTGTGACCCTGGCATCGCTGTTGGTCAGTATGGAAAAACCCCTCTCTCTCTCTCTCTCTCTATCTCTCTCTCTCTCTCTATCTCTCTCTCTCTCTCTATCTCTCTCTCTCTCTCTATCTCTCTCTCTCTCTCTATCTCTCTCTCTCTCTCTATCTCTCTCTCTCTCTCTATCTCTCTCTCTCTCTCTATCTCTCTCTCTCTCTCTATCTCTCTCTCTCTCTCTATCTCTCTCTCTCTCTCTCTGTCCAAACGCTGCCTTTATAAAACCTCGTCCTAACGCGGGTCACGTTCTTCAGGGTACCACGAGTTCAACGCCGTGGACTTCAGTGGAACCTTCTTCATCAACACGGAGCGGGACGACGACTATGCGGGCTTCGTGTTCGGGTACCAGTCCAGCTCCAGGTTCTACGTGGTGATGTGGAAGCAGATTACGCAGACGTACTGGTCCAATAAACCCACTAAGGCTCAGGGTTACTCTGGTCTGTCCATTAAAGTGGTCAACTCCACCACTGGACCTGGAGAGCACCTCCGAAACGCCCTGTGGCACACCGGAGACACGGCTGGACAGGTGAGACAGCGGTCCACGTAGTAATTCCGACGTGAACGATAACGCCTCCGACGCTAACGTTGGTCCACTCCGTAGGTCCGCACTCTCTGGCACGACCCTAAAAATGTTGGATGGAAGGACTTCACTGCCTACAGGTGGCATCTGATCCACAGGCCGCGAACAGGACACATCAGGTGGGAATTTAGTAATAAGTTAGCTGAACTGTTAGCATTGAAGCTAACTTTGACTGCCTCCACTTTCTATGAGATATTTCTGTGATTTAACTGCTAAATCTATTGTAGCATTTCTAGCTGAATCCAGGCCTAGCCTCACATCACTTATGAGCTCATCTCCAACATTTAATTCAATGGTTGTGTGTTTTTTTTATCTATTTTTCAGGGTGGTGATGTATGAAGGCAAAAAGATCATGGCTGATACTGGAAGCATCTACGACAAGACGTACGCAGGCGGCAGGTTAGGTCTCTTTGTCTTCTCGCAAGAGATGGTTTACTTCTCAGACCTGAAGTATGAATGCAGAGGTAAGGATTCTGGCTCCGTTCACGTCTGATCCTGATGTAACTCCTCTCCTGACT